AGTATGGCCAAATAAAGCCTTAATTTAACTGTTAATAATAACTAATAAATGATATTCTATATATAATAATTAACAATTATTATTATTTACAATTTAAATGCCCTTATTCATCTAATTAAAGAAAGCGAATATTAACTATTTCTTAATAACTATCCATCAAAAAAAAAATTTTCTTAATAACTCAATCAAATATGGCCTAAATTTTTGAAAACATCATTCATACTAACTTTCAATTATATTAATAGATTAAAAAGTAAAAAAGAAAGTAATGATCTAAATAGTTCAACAGTAATTTCCTTTTAGCAAGAGAAAGAAATTATAAGTTCGAGTCTCATAATGTGTGAGAAAAGTAGGTTAAAGGATAAAAAAGAGTTAACTCTATTATACAACTCAAAATAAAAGAAAAGTCAAAAATTATAATTTTACATGGAATTAATATTAATAAGATGTGACAATAAAATCACCCTAATAATTGTCAAGAGAAGAGACAAATAAAAATATAAAGACTAAGGCTTTGTTTAAATGATCTGTGTATTGAAAATTAAAAAATATTAAAATTAATTACTATTTAGTATATGTTTGTTAAATTAATAGATTTTGAGTTTTTTTTTCCTTCCTTTGTCTTGTTTTGTATGGCCCACAAACACAATTTAAAAAAAAAAAAATTGAAACCATCACACTTAACGATCGAAGATGTTTATGTGAGATGGGAGTTAGAAACAGAATTAGAAACGGTGTTAGTGTGGTGTTAGGGGGGAGGTAAATGTCATGTTAAATCCCAATTTGGTCCCTGAACTATTGTATAAACCTTCGATTTGGTTTCTAAACTAAAAAATCTCTAATTTGGTCCCTGATTTGGTCCCTGTACTATTATACGGACCCCCAATTTGATATCTACTGTTTATCAATTTGCCTCAAGTTGGTCTTTCCGTACAGAAAACAGCTAACGTGTCTGTTACTTAACGACAAAAAACAGTAACTTAACGGTGAAAAACAGTAACTTAATGATAAAAAATAGTAACTTAACAATCACATGTTATGTTAATAACAAAACACGTCAGTTGGTTTTTGTACGAAAAAATCAACTTGGGGTAAATTAGTAAACAGTAAGAACTAAATCGAAGGTTCGTACAATAGTTTAGGGACCAAATCAAAAAAAAAATTAATTTAAGGATCAAATCAAAGGTTCGTATAATAATTTAGGGATCAAATTGAAAATTTAACCTAAATGTTATGAAAAGTTAAAATAGAGGGGGGACTGTAATATCACTACTAGAAAACAACATATAATCGACAAAAATATAATCGACAGTCAAAAAACTGTCGATTTTACTTATATTATCGACAAAAATTCTGTCGATTATAATAAAGTGTCGATTATATAGCTATAATCGACAGCCATTGTGGCTGTCGAATATACTGGATATAATCGACAG